TTTTACCGATGGCACATATCACCATCAAAATTAGCAAAAATGTATCCGAAATAATCCCCCAAATGTTGGAAATGTAATAAAGAAATTGGAACATATTATCACTTTTGGTGGAATTGGAAAAAAAACCAAATATATTGGTTGAAAATTAGAAATTGGACAGAAGAGATGTGTAAAATTAAAATAGAATTTAGACCTGAAATCTTTTTATTGGGAATCAGTGTGGGAGATTATAGTAAAGATGTAACATACTTAATAGTCCATGTCACCAAAGAGGTTAGCCTTTGCCCAAAGATGAAAAGGTAATGAAATGCCAGACGAGATGGAAATAATCAGGAAAATTTGGACGTGCGCTGAAATGGATAAATTAACTCAAGAATTAAAAAATAAGACTGAATCTGATTATTACAAAATTTGGGAGAAGTTTTACCATTGTTTGAAAAAAAAAGAAAGGAATAAGTGTATTAAAGATGACTAAGGTTTATATATGTAAATTTGTATTATTCTTTATATTTGTCACTTGATGGTGTAAGATAAATAGGTGTGTCGGGATGTATGCACCACATTCGTTGTTTTTAAAAGTTTTTTCTTTTTGTTTGACTAATAAAAAAACCCAATGCTATAGCTCAAGATGCAAGCAGTTTTAACAGAACAGTCAAAGGCATTTTGGTGGGCTGAGGGTATACCACAGAGATCTACAGTATCACTCCTAGAGCTTTACCAGTACTTTTAAATCAGGATAGGAATTACTAGCCTTTCTTTTATTTATTTCCAGCAGTTTCAGGAGAATATTTTATTTTCTCAACCATGGAAAATATCGTGCCAGATTCAAACTGATATAGGCTAGATCTGTGATGGTGAGCCTATGGTACACGTGCCAAAGGTGGCACACAGAGCCTCTGGGAATGCGAGCCATTGCTCAGCTTTGCCAGGCATGCATGTGCACCTCCCACTGGCCAGCTGGTCTTCAGGTCTCTGCCACGCATGCGTGGAGATGGGGCGTACACGGGAGTTGCACGTGCATGTGTGGGGGAGTCACTCACACATGCACAGGAGGATCACATGTACAGTGGGTCGTACACACATGTGCAGGGTAGAGTGCACATGCAGGGGTCACACATGCACATGAGGAACGTGGGGGGTCATGTGTGCATGGTGAGTCACACGCACATGGGGGGGTGCATGTGCAGGGGGAACACATTGCATTTTGGGGATGCATGCATGCACGCTTTGGGCACTTGGTGCTGAAAAGGTTAGCCATCACTGGGCTAGATGGCTAAATCCTAAGCAAATAAACATCCACTTTTGATTCACAATAAAAGTTATTCAATAATAGATCGATCCATGGGGCTTTCAATAGACACATTTGGGATCCCCAAAGTTCCATCCTCAAGACACCAATATTCCATTTCCTTGAATAGTGGACTTCCCCAGCTCTGCTGCCCTCCTGAAAGGTCATTTTGCCCAACAATATATCTGTATATCAGACATTAATACAATTGAGCAAGTCCAGAAGTATTTTCCAAGAAGAGTACTACACTCCTCTGTTCACAACAGAATACCCTACACCACCAGACTTGAGATTCTAGGCTTAGATAACCTTGAACTATGCCGGCTAAGACTGGACTTAATCATAGTACATAATGTTATAATGTCTTACCAGTTAATGACTATTTCAACTTTAACCACAGCAACACAAGAGCAAACACCAGATAAAAACTTAATGTAAGCCATTCCAAACTTGATTGCAGGAAGTACAATTTCAGCAATAGAGTGGTCAATGCCTGGAACTCACTACCTGGTTCTGTTGCCACATGCTCAAACCCCTACTCCTTTTCCCTCAAACTAACCTCTATTGACGTCAGCCCATTCCTAAGAGGTCTGTAAGGGGCATGCATAAGCACACAATCGTGCCTACCATCCCTGTCCTATTTTCCCCAATTATTTGTACCTATTTCATGTATTTATACTTATGTTTATTCTTATTTCTATTATATTGTAAGTGTTTGTCAAATCAAATAAGTAAGTAAGTAAAAGTAAGTAAGTAAGTAAGTAAGAAAAAGTAAGTAAGTAAGTAAATAAAACTTATCTCAAGTAAACCAGCAAGAACGTGCCTAGTTTCCCCAGACTGGTCAGCAAATCAGATCTGTGGGATTTCCTGTTTTGTAGCCCTAAACTTCTATCAAAATCTTTGTTTTATTTTTATTCCAGTGATCATGACAGCCTGATTCTTCTTAGTGTGGTGCTCATTCTTCAGGCTGAATCCATAACTGGAATTTTGAAGGCACAATCACCAACGATGTCTATAAAAAGAAAAGTGGAGTAAATCCAGCAAAACCAGTGTGGATACACAACAGAGCTCTTTAAAATGCAGAAATGCTGATAGACTTGGATATACATACATGCTACAAATATCAGGAGCTCACACAAAAATAAGTTCAAGCATAAAATGGGGGACACCTGGGTTGGTACTAGTGAAAGGGATTTGGGAATTTGTCAGCCACCTACTAAACATGAATCAGCAGAGTGATGCAGCTATTAAAAAGACAAATGCTATCTTGGATGCATTAGCACAAAATAGAGTCCACATCAGTAACTCTTTTACACTTCTCTGCTCCCACTCAGAACCCACTTATATACTGTCTCCAATTCTGGGCATTAGAGGGACTTGGAAATCAAGCTCTGTGGAGTAGCTAACAATTAAAGAAATTGGGAATATAAGCCTACAGAATATACCACTGAGGAGAGATACAAAAGAATTATTCAAATATCTAAAGAGTTGTTATATAGAAGGGAAGGGGGAGAGTTATTTTCTACCACCCCAGAGGGCAGGAACTGAACAATAAAGCAAGTTTAGATTAGATGTCAGGAGGAACCTTCCCATCTGCATGAGATATCAGTTATGCTGTCACAAAAGTGGTAAGTTCTTCTATGAAGGTCTTCAAATGAAGGTTGGATGGTTAACTGTCAGGCCTTAAAATGAATCCTGGACTGAGGAAAGACATTTCTGTCTGCCATGGTCAAGAGAGTGATTTAAATATATCCCTGAAAATATACTAAAACGTTCACTTTCAGATAGGAAAGAAGCAAGAAAAACAGAAATAGATGTCTAAACCAGGGGTTGCCAACCTTTTGGATCTCAGGGGCCACCAAACTCATAATTTTAAATCCCGCAGACCACTAATATGAATCCAGCATGCTGCTTGCTGAAGTGCCTGGATTCCCACTGACAGGATGGGGTCCTTCAGGCACTTAGCTTGGCTGCCTGTTTCTGCAACCTTAAATACTCAAGAGTCACTTGGACCCGTTTCCCACAGAAAACAAAACACCGGGATCTCTCATCTTGTTGTGTCTATAGAACTGGCTGGAGTCCCCAACCAGGTCTGCCGTTCGAGCGGGAGCACCGACCGCTCCCATTGGCTGATGCCGTTTGACAGCCGGCTATAAAAGGAGCTGTCAAACGGCATCAGCTGTTGCTGCCAGCTGATCTGCCGAGTTAGCCTGGCAGACACGGCAACCCTTTATTCAGCCGAATAAAGCCCTTTAAACGAACGCTCTGACTCAGCCTCGTATCTCCACCGCTCTACAACACTGGCGACGAGGGCAAGATACAATAAGAGGCTACCAGACGTCCGATCGCAGAGCTGTTCACTGAAAAAAAGAGCAAAGCCACTGGGCGCTGAAGCCACAGCCACCGACGCTCACCAAGAGCACGAAATTCAAAGCCTCCTCAGCCGAGGAGACAGACGCCGCCTGACTGGCGCAGCCGCAAAACGCTCTTCTAAGAGCGCGATTTTCGAAGCCGCAGCAGCTGAGGTGACAGGCACTGCCGCCTCAAGATGAATACCAACCCGACATTCCCACCCTTCAAGCCAGCCGAGGAAACATGGGAGTCATACAAAAACCGGTTTATCTACTTCCTGGATGCTATCGACCTAACAGATGCTGCTGAGCACAGGAAAAAATCTTTCTTCCTCAGTTACTGTGGGGCTGCGGTTTTTGACACCGCTACAGCACTAGTTGCCCCTCGCTCTGTAAGAAACATCCCTTGGGAAGAGCTCCAAGAGATTCTTTCCAATCACTACTCACCTAAACCCTCCCAGATAGCTAGGAGACATGCCTTCAGAACCAGAAGGCAGGCTGAGGGGGAGTCAATTAGTGAGTATATGGCAGCTCTGAGGTCAGCTGCCTTACAGTGTGGATTCAGAGACTACCTAGAAGACATGCTTTTGGATCAGATTGTCTGTGGGGTCAGGGACCTTAGGCTTCAAAGACGCTTGCTAGCAAAAAAAGACTTAACCCTAGCCTTAGCTATAGAAGAAGCCCAAGCTGCTGAGCTCTCTGCTCAATCAGCAGCTGAGATTCAAGGAACTCCTATCAGACCTAGCAGCTCCACTATTCACTCAGAGGAAGTTTCCCTTGAAGAAGACCCCATAGGCACAACAGACATAAACCGCCTTAGGCAACAAAAGCCCTCACAAGAAGGAGCAGGGCAAAGAAACAACTTCACCCCCAAGCAACCTCCCATTTGCCTGAGCTGTGGGGGTTCCCACCTTAGAGCATCCTGCAGGTTCAGGAATGCCATTTGTCTAAACTGTCAGAAGAAAGGCCACCCAGCTAGAGTCTGCCAAGCAGGGTGAACCTTCCCTCAGAGACCTCAACCTACTGCTAATTTCCAAAGGCAAGTGGAAGACTGCTATACTTGCTACCACGCAGACCACACTTCTAAAACCTCTAACAAAATAAGTATTTTTGTTTTCTTAGTAGGTAAGCCTTGCAGAATGGAGGTGGACACGGGATCTGCGCTTTCAATCATCTCCTGGGAGACCCTGAAGAAGATTCACCCCAGAATTTCAAAAAAGAAGCTGCAGAAATGCTACCTGACCCTACGGGACTACCAGGGCAAGAACATCCCTGTCCTCGGGAAAGGCAAGTTTTTAGTTCAGTTCCAAGGTTTTAAAGGCCATTTGCCTTTGGTGGTTGTTAATGGTGCCCTCCCCAGTCTGCTGGGACTAGATTGGTTCCCTTCCCTTGGCCTTAGTATAACTGGAATCCATGCTGTCTCAACCTCTGAAGTAGACACCCTATTCACAGACTATTCTGATGTCTTTGGCGATGAATTGGGTTGCTATTCTGGCACCCCCATCTCCTTCACTGTGGAACCCCAGGCAATTCCCCTTTGCCTCAAGCCACGCAGAGTACCCTTCGCCATCCGTCCAAAATTAGATTTAGAATTAGATAAGTTACTAAAGCAAGGGGTATTAGAGCCAACTGATTTTGCCAAATGGGAGACCCCCATAGTCACCCCACTCAAAAAAGATGGCAGCGTGAGAATCTGCGCTGATTACAAGACCACCCTCAATCGTTTTCTGCAGGTCAGCACATACCCTGTCCCTGTTATCCAACACCTATTACACACTTTTGAACCTGGCACCATCTTTGCCAAATTAGATATGTCCCAGGCATACCAACAGTTCCCTGTTGATGATCAGACAGCTGAGCTACAAACCATAGTCACTCATAGGGGAGCATTCAAATGCAAGCGCCTCCAATTTGGCGTAAGTGTAGCCCCAGGTATTTTCCAGTCCCTCATGGAAAGGATTCTCCAAGGACTCCCAGGGGTAGTCCCTTACTTCGATGACATTTTAGTTTCAGCAGTTAACAAACCTCAGCTCATACAAAGGGTTAGAGCAGTCCTAGACAGGTTCAGGCAGCATGGCCTCAAACTCAAAAGGGAGAAGTGCACCATCGCCACTAAGCAAGTGGACTTTCTGGGGTACAGGATTGATGCCTCTGGCATTCACCCAATTGAATCCAAAGTCAGGGCTATCCACGAGGCACCCACACCAACCAACAAGATGGAGCTCCAAGCCTTTCTGGGGCTGCTGAACTTTTATGCTTCATTTCTTCCTCATAAGGCATCCATTGCAGAGCCCTTACACAGACTGTTAGACAAAGAATCCCCCTGGCATTGGGGACCCAAGGAAGCCCACGCTTTCAAATCAGTCAAATCCTTACTAACATCTGATGCAGTTTTAATCCAATTTAATCAACAACTCCCCCTAGTCCTGGCTGCTGATGCATCCCCCTTTGGTATTGGGGCAGTCCTGAGCCACAGGCTCCCAAATGGTTCTGAGGCACCAATTGCCTTCTTCTCTAGGACTTTCTCTGCTGCAGAAAGAAACTACAGCCAAATAGATAAGGAAGCCTTGGCTGCAGTAGCTGCAGTTAAAAAGTTTCATGAATTCCTATTTGGGCACCACTTTGAACTCATAACTGACCATAAACCACTCCTGGGGCTTTTGTCAGGGGACAAGCAAACACCACAGGTACTATCACCTAGGATGACCAGGTGGACCTTGTTCCTGGCCGCATACTCATTTAAATTAGTGCATCGCCCTGGAAAAAACTTGAGTCACGCAGATGCCCTTAGTCGATGCCCCCTGCCTGTTCCAGTCGAAGACCCAGCACCCATTCATGCCATTTTTGAAGTAAATGAACTTAAATTGCCTGTTACAGCTGAAGACATTGCAACGCACTCAAAAAAAGACAGGGTAATTGCCCAGGTTCTGGACTGGGTGGGAAGGGGGTGGCCTGAAACACAATACACTTCTGACTTCACTCCTTTCAAAATTCGCAAGCAAGAATTGTCAAGCCTACAGGGTTGTCTGTTGTGGGGGACAAGGGTGGTCATCCCAGCCACTCTCCGTGTACCCATCCTAAAGGTCCTTCACGAAGGCCACCCGGGCATCGTAAGGATGAAGGCCCTGGCCCGCAGCTACGTTTGGTGGCCAGGCATGGATGCCCAAATCTCCAGCTGGGTAAGCTCGTGCCAACCTTGCCAAACTACCAGGCCTACCCCACCAGCAGCCACTCCTACCAGGTGGGAAAGTGCTGGGGGACCTTGGTCTCGCCTGCACATCGACCTGGCTGGACCAGTACATGGAAGGACCTTCTTGGTTTTAGTAGACTCGTATTCCAAATGGATAGACTTGGCCCTACTACCTTCAACAACCACTCAAGCAATTGTTAAGGCTCTAACCCGTTTGTTTGTTACCCATGGCCTCCCTGACACACTGGTGTCTGACAATGGCCCCCAGTTCACATCTTGTGAGTTTAGTATGTACGCTGCCAACTTAGGTATCAGACACATCCTCACAGCCCCTTTTCACCCAGCTAGCAATGGGATGGCTGAAAGGGCAGTCAGGTCAGTAAAAGAGGCACTTGCTAGGTTTGGCCAGGAAAACTGGCACTCCAAACTGTCACGTTATCTGAGCCAACATACAACCCCATGCACCACTACAAATAAATCTCCTGCTGAACTATTAATAGGGAGGCGCCTTAGGACCACCTTGGACAGGCTACATCCCCGTTACTGCCCAGACACCCCCCTAGGATCTGTCAGCTTGGTCAGGGACTTTGCCCTGCATGACCTGGTATACGCCAGGAATTATGCAGGGGACCCTCTGTGGGTACCTGGACAGGTTGTGTCAGTTGCAGGGCCAAGATCCTACAGAGTCCTCCTAGAAGACGGACGCTTGTGGCGCAGGCATGTGGACCAACTGAGGAGAAGGTGGAGAGGCACAACTGATGGCTCCTGCAACCAGCCAAGCGACCCGATCTACCGAGCGAGCACCAATGATCCAGCCTATCCAACAACCGCCAAGGGACCAGTCTACTCAGCCCAGCCAGCCAGCACCAAAGGCTCCTTGCCGGGACCGATCTACCCAGCCGAGAGTTCCCTGCCGGGCCCGATCTACCCCGCCGACGCCGAGAGCTCCCTGCAGGGCCCGATCTACCCAACCAATGCCGAAAGCTCCCTGCAGGGCCCGATCTACCCGGCCGGCGCCGAGAGCTCCCTGTCAGACCCAATCTACTCAGACGACGCCAAAAGCTCACCACCGGGCCCGATCTACCCGAGAGACACCGAGCGCTCCCTACCGGGCCCGGTCTACCAACGGAGGAGTCTGAACTCACAACCGAGCGAGCCGGTCTACCGCCCCGGCTGAACGACGCGCCAGAAACGAACTGAACGGAGGGGCCTACCTGATCCACCAAAGGGCCTCGCTGACCGAACCCGCTCTCCAACAACCTCCGAGACGCTCCCCGGGGCCGAGGACTTCACTCCAGCCGACGACTTTCCTGGACTCCGACAGTCCTGCCGCCATCGTAGACGACCAGCCTATTTGCGGGACTACGCATGCTCCTGGCCGGGGAAAGGAGTGTTGTGTCTATAGAACGGCTGGAGTCCCCAACCAGGTCCACCGTTCGAGCGGGAGCGCCGACCGCTCCCATTGGCTGATGCCGTTTGACAGCCGGCTATAAAAGGAGCTGTCAAACGGCATCAGCTGTTGCCGCCAGCTGATCTGCCGAGTTAGCCTGGCAGATGCGGCAACCTTTTATTCAGCCGAATAAAGCCCTTTAAACAAACGCTCTGGCTCAGCCTCGTATCTCCGCCGCGCTACAACACATCTCTTTCTCTCTCATCTCTCTCTCTGCCTTTCTCCCTCTTTCTCTTTCTCTCTCTCTCTCTTTTTCTCCCCCCCCCTCTGTCCCTGGGGGTGGGGGTGGGGGAAAAGGAACCTCTGAACTGGTGCTGGGTGGTGCTGAGAATCTGATGGCCAGAGGCCGAAGACCGGCTGACAGGGAGGTGGGGCAACAGGGGTGATACCAGTGGTGGATGGAGTGATATGCATGGGAAATGCATGGGTATCGAAGCCCTTCCCGGATGTTCCCTGGCCTGTGAGAGGGTGGGGATGGGGACAAAGGAACCTCTGAACTAATGTTACCTCCTGCCTCCTGCCACAGCATATCGAGAAAGTTGAGAGGCTGCCAGCAATGCCCTCAGCTGAAGATGTTGCGAGGGGGAGGCTTGACCCCTCCCCTGAGGAGCTGCAAAGTGCTCACCACCTCTCTGGCACCTCCCAAGCCTCCTCCTTCCTGCTGGGCATGTGAGCGCTTGTGGTGAGGAGGAAGAGAAGTACTGTGGAAGGAGGCTTGGTGGGTGCCAGAGGGGTAGCAAGTGCTTTGTGACTCCTGAGGGGAGGGGTCAAGCCTCCCACTGGCAATATCTTCACCTGAAGGCATTGCTAGCAGCTGCTTCCTGTGGATCAGGAGGTCCATGGTCTTCCCGCTGTTGCTCGGCCTCCTCGATGCATGAAGGCAGGAGGCAGCAGCCAAACACAGGCTTGCTAGGGAGTCTGCAAGATTGCCCCACCTCCCTGCCAGCCATCTGGTCTTCAGCACATGGCTTGTTGGCCTCCAGACATCAAATTCCCACCATCCAGCACCAGTTCAGAGGTTCCTTTCCAACTGCAGACCAGGGAACACCTGGGAAAGGCTCCAATGCCACAATCTCCTGCATGCTACCCTCCCTCCCCATGCACATCAGTCCATCCTCTGCCAGTATCAACCCTGTTGCAAACAGGAGTGCACTGCTGACCACCAAAATTTTCTCATGGACCACCAGTGGGCCGTGGCCCATCAGTTGGTGGCCACTGGTCTAAAGGATCTCTCATATCCTACTAGGGCAAAAAGGAGGATGGGGAAGGCAGAGAAAGACAGACAGTCACAGACATATATGCCAGGTAGTCCGATCCCAAAACAGATATAGTTCTGATTCCTAAATTCAGAGAAACAATATGCGTAACATAATATAAAGAAGGACCAATCTATAATGAGGTGAATGGTCATCTCTAATATTTCGGGTCTTGGTTGGTATATTGCTATGACTTTATATCTTTCTTTTTCAAAATTAAACACACCACCAGCAAGGGATGAGAGAACAATGATGAGCAAGCATACTTCCCTTCAATTAGATCAGACCAACTGCAGAATATTTTGTATAAATTGCCCAGACTTTATAAATGTTGAAACTTTTAGGAAGTGCCAAAAGGATCAGTGGTGGGATTCAATTTTTTTTGCTAGCGGTTCTATGGGCATGGCTTGGTGAGTGTGGCGTGGCTTGGTGGGCGTGGCAGGTGAAGAATACTGCAAAATCTCCATCCCTCCCCACTCCTGGGGGAAAGTTACTGCAAAATCCCCATTCCCTCCCCACCCCACTAACCTGCTTTCCAGCTCCGTTCCCCTGTGCAGGACAACAAAAGAAAACCCAGCCAATCAGCTGGGACTCAGGAGACAGAGAATAGATGTGAGCGGGGCCAGTCAGAGGTGGTATTTGCCGGTTCTCCAAACTATTCAAAATTTTTGCTACTGGTTCTCCAGAACTGGTCAGAACCTTTGCTTAATACCACTTCTGAAAAGGATCAAACCGTAATTAAAGTTGAACTGGTAATGTGGGGAAAAGCTTGTTCTTCAAAGGAAGTGCTATTTTTAGCATTTTCCCAATTCTGTGAACACCTAGTTGGGGAAGGCTACATTGTTAAATTTCTATCCCATTTAGGCGATACTAATCATTTTGGTCAAGAACTCAAAATAATAACACAAACACTTATTTCTCTTCATTCTTTAAAAACATGAAAATCATATCTTCATTTGTTTATATTTGTTTTAAAAGCAAGATAAAGTCCACTATGAATCTGTCTATGCCTAACCATACTTTTTTTTACCAATTTCGTACTATGTGCATATGTAAGAAAGTACTATTGAAAAACAACATACATAGTTATACTCTGTCCATTCCTTACTTATTTAACTGTAGGACTTTACATCTATTCACATTAATTCCATTAGGAAGGTAAACAATTTTTGGAAAATTATAGCCAATCAGGCAATTGGCTCATTTTAAAAATATTCTATATATTTTAATTGTAGTTATTGGTTTTATTCTTTAAATGCACTGTATTAACACTATAAAGAGAGAATAGATCTTCAAAGGCTGATGTAATGTAATGTACAGCATTACTTGGGGCATTTCCTAATGCTAGGGAGATTTTATTTGTTTAATAAGTACTAATAAATATGCAAATTGGCATCAGTGCAGCACCTCAATACTGTCATAATTAATGAGTTGCAAATTAATGTGACAATGAAAGGAAATTCTATTTAGCAACAGAACTACAATGTTTTATACAAAATGCAGGGATGCTGGTGGTTCCAACCCTAAGAAATACTTGGATATTGTGTACTTCCTTCCTTCCTCATCACCAGGGATTGAGTTCAACTAGAAGGCACCTTTAACTTACTATTCCCATTCAGCAGTCTATGAAGATAATTCTATCTAATATTTCCTTAATTGCTGGCCTGTGTAACAGGAAAAAAATACTCTTGGCCAATTTTATTTTGTTGTAGCTACCAATCTTCACAATAGCCTAAAGCAGGAGTGGGATTCTACTGGTTCGGACCAGTTCTATAGAAATGGTGAAATTTTAAATGAAAAAGGTGAACTCAAATCTAAACAAGAACTAGAGGAGCAAGAAATTAAGATGAATTGGTATACATATATGCAAATACATTCTAGGTATGACAAAGATTGTAAAACAGAGGGATTTTATAATGAACTTACAGAACTGGATGAAATTTTAACAGGTACTGATGAGAAAATCATTTAAAAAATTTATGGTTACTTACTTGGAATTAAATTGGAGGAAGAACAAGTTAAAGAAACAATGATTGCCTGGGGGAGGAATTTTGGACATGGGATAGATTTAGATAAATGGCAAAAACTATGGTCTCGAAATTATAAATTAACAATGTCAGTAGCGTATAAAGAGAATTTGTATATGATGTTTTACAGGTGGCATTTACCCCCAGCATGAAGAGCGAGGATGTTCAAGAATAAATCAGAGATATTGGAAGTGTCATCAGATACATGGATCCAGGGGTGGGTTTCTACCAGTTCGCACCTATTCACTAGAACTGGTTGTTAACATTCTGAGCAGTTTGGAGAACCAGTTGTTAGAATAAATTATTGGCCTAATCCTGTAAGGAAGGCAGGAAGGAAACATTCTGGTGTTGCTTACAGAAACTGCCTCTCCGTTAAACCTTATTACATTCTTGGCAGGACTAGACTTCCTGTCTCAGGAACTTCTCTGGAGTTTTTTTTCCCTCCTTTGCTGGTACTTTGCTTGTGTGGAGTGACCACTCAAAGTTACAATGGCACTGAAAAAAGTGACTTATGACCATTTTTCACACTTACAACTGTTGCAGTATCCCCACAGTCGTGAGAGGCCAGGCGAAGAGATGCGTGCCTCGATGTGAGTGATATTGAGTTGGCCAATAACATGACCACCAAGCCACACCCACCAACTAAGCCACAGAACTGGTTGTTAAAAAAATTTGAATCCCACCCCTCCCTGGATCATATTATCATATGTTGTGGACATGTGTGGAAGCTAAGAGATACTGGACTAAGATTCATACATGGCTTGAAAAAATCATAAAACAGACTTGAAACCAGACATATTTTTATTGGGTATCTTAACCTGAAGGATAAAGTAGAGAATTGATATATTTGATTATAAATGTGTTAACGGCAGCTAGAATTGTATTTGCGAGAAATTGGAAGAGCGAAAAAAATCCAATAGAGGAAGAGGTGATTAAGAAAATGATGGAATGTGCAGAAATGAGTAAATTGACATTAGCAATCAGAGAGCAAGAAGATAAAGAATATTATAAAATTTGGGATTTATTTTATCAATGGCTAAATAAGAAAATAGAGAAGTAAACTATGTTATGGAAAGGAATAATATAATATGTAAGATAATATGATGTAATTATGTTATATAATTGAATATAAGGAAATGAATTGTATGATCCCAGGTTTGTTAAAATAGAGATTTGCCCGATAAGAAATATATACATTTTTAATTGGGTCTAACAATGATATAATAATAACACAATATAACATAATATAATATGTATAGTTGACTTATGTAATATGAATGTATGTTTGGAAGGGAAGACCGTTGATATTGTGACATTGCACGAAAGAAATGTACCAACCAACACACTGTATTTTGGAAGATGGTTTTATGTTGATGTTTTATGTTTGTGTTTGTTAGTGTTTGTCTTTTTTAAAAAATTAAAAACTTTAGGGAAAACAAAAGAA